AATCAGGCACGAAATGCGGAACGTCACGTTTTCAACGTCCACCCCAACCGGAACAATCCGAACGATTCTATCTGCGCGTTTTGACGATACGGTCATCCTTTGACAATTGAGAAAAAAAAGAGAGAGAAATGTATCGCAAAAATATCCTGTTTTTCTTTCTCTCTACTTTCTATTGAAAGTACAGTGTATTGTAACATTGTAATCATTTAACTCTTTTTTTATTTATAATTTATATCAAATTATATTGTTATATGTTTGATATTCTATACATGTAAATATGTATTTTGCTAAATTTCGCCATATATCGTCGACTATCTCATTTGCTACAACAACCTCACAACCTCAAAAAAACAAAGTTTTTCAGAAAATAAGTTTGAATATTTTGAATCATTAAAAAATTGTAATATTCATTTTAAAATGCAATTTGATGTAGCTAATTCTAGAAGAATAAAATATGTTCTCTTTTAAGTTATATTTTTTTCTTTTTTTTACGTCTCCGCTTTTTTGCAAACAACATAGAAATGGCAGGTTTACGTCGTTGTCGTAACAAACAAACGATATATATATACATAACAAACCATATAAAATTACACAAAAAAAACACGATCTGCTTAAAAAAAAAAACATCTTAGCAAGGAATGTTTTCCTTTGTTAATAAATTACTAAGGTCCGGTTGCATCAACGTTATTTGATTTTAAGCAAAACTTAAAATTCTCTTTATTTCGTTTTAAAATCGAAAAAAAGACAGAAATAAAGAGTTTTAAGCCTCGCTAAATTACAATAACATTGATATAACTGGAAGTAAGATAAATGGTCCATTATCAGTCATTAATTTCTTTCATCTTCCAAAAAATGCTGACGCGATAATTCGAGCTTATATCGTTAAATACGATTAACAGCATGATTGTTATATCCATAATGCGTTGTCTGAAGCGAAATACGACGAGCTGTCTAAAAGACAGCGATGAAAGTAGAACCCCTAGGTAGCTGATAAACAGAGGGGGATCGCCGGAGAAAATAGTTGCCCGTGGTGTAGGAGCGTCTAATCCCGGATGAGAGAGACAACGGCGGATGTGCGACGGCGATGACGAGGAGGTGGAAGCGGGAGGCGGCGCAGACACATCTCTCGGATTACGTCTTAACAAGCTCCACGACGTTCATTTGTCTTATCCGCTGCCGCTAATGCGACGCAGCAGCTGTTGAAATGATTAATTCGGCGCGAGGACGTCCTCATTCCTTTCCGCTCTGCTTCGCTCCGCTCCGCTCCGTTTCGCTCCGCTCCGATCCATTTTGCTGCATGTTGCGCACCGCCCGCGAGAATCCCGCGTTCGACGTTTTGTTTTGTCGAAGATGTGTCGCGGTTAATCAGCGCATTGCGGTTAATTACCGTTGCTGCGAAATACAAAGCCTGAACGAATAGCATCTCGTTCGGCACGTGTAAACATAATTCGGAGGTTGAGAAAGAAGGGGAAAGAGAGGAAGAGAGGAAAACGAGGTTAAAGATCTTAATAGAGTTTAAATCCTAACTGAAAACACGGCTCTGTCGTGCATAAAATCTTCTTGATAATCTACATTAGGAAGCGTCGATTTGGAGAATTATTCCTATATTCTTTATACAAGTATTATTATTACACAGTCCTCAAATATCAAAGTGATTAAGAAAGAATAAAAACAAGGAACTTAATAAAAAGAGAGGGAGGGAGAGAGACAGAATGGTAGGGAGAGTAATTAGGATAGGATAAGATAAATAGATAAATGATAGAAAAAAGCGATAATGTATATATAACAAAAATTGTATGTACTGGATATTATGGCTGTGATAATATATTTAAGACATGGATATATGTATAACGTATAGAAATGTAAGAAACAATTAATTTTAAGTCGAAAAGCATGTGAGAGAGGCATGGATGGATGAGTGAGGTAGGAACAATGTTTATAAACCAAATCCGCGTTAATCGATGATACGCTATTCAAAAAAAAAAAAACAGACATTCTGGCATGTGTGTTTCGAAAATATTAAGGCATTACATAGGAAAACGCAAATCAACATTTTATTTATTTACTTCGTTCATTATCTTACATTTACGACTGTGATTGGCCGATTCGCTTACTGTTTACGTCTTACTGATTATTTCTTTTATATTCCACTAACTTAATCGATTCAATTTCAATCTTAAACGTCGCAATGTTCGATAGCAATCGCATAAACGTGAATGGATTCAGAAGTGCGAGTGTATCCTACCGCACGATCGCTCGTCGTTCGTGGGAGAAACCCTACGTTTACATCACGTTCGCACTCTGTCCAAACAGCCAGACAGAGACGCGAGCGCGCGATCTGATTGAATTAATTTTCAATTTGTGAGGGCCACCTGTCGCCAACATCGGCGACGAGTGACGACGTGCGGATCGTCGATCGCGTCCGCCATTCGATGACTAATCCGCGAGAACAAGACACCGTGATCGCCCGGCGCACCGTGATTCCTAGCACCCGCTGCGCGGGTGCCTCCGGTTACGATCGCAGTGAAAACGCCGGACAAAGAAGCGGAGCGGCGCAACAATTGCGCTTCGTCGCGCGGATATAGAGTTACAGGCGGGCGCGAGCGGAGAAAATGAGCGGCGCATATTAAGCCGGTCACGGCAAAATGGCCGACGTGGACGGAGGGATAAAAAAAAAAGAAAATGGGGACGCATTCGTCTCTCTTTCTCTCGCGCCGAGCACACGGCGAGCGTCGAACGAAACACTCGACGCTTCCATACATAAATACACGCGCACTCACACGCACACGCACGTCGCGCCGGGGGTTACGTCGCCGGTCGCGTCGACGTGACGCGGGACGCGGGTCGAAATTCCGCCGCGCCGGCGACGCATGCGTCACGCACGCCGATCGAAAGCCCCGCCCGGCGACAGTCTTTGTTTAATCCATGTGATATCTACGCCCACGATAGCAGTGGCGTACTTGGAGATCCTACTCTATAAATCTCGCGAGAGAGTGCCTATTAAAACGTTTTGTTTTAAGTGATATATAGTTAACTAATATAAATAGAGAATATCAGAGTAACTACTTCAAATTGTGTTATAAATTCTTTGGTATAGATATGGGTTATTCGTTGATAGAATCGTTCATCGTTTCTCAACGATTAGAAATTATTTACAAATCAACTCTGAAATTACTTCTTACGTTACATCAAATCGTACAATCAAAGCAGACATTCTTTCGAGGAAAAATGAATGTAATTTTACAAAATAAGCCATTCAATTAGAGAAGCGAAACATTAAGCCTCTTTAATCAATTTCATTTTATATGACTTCATTTTATATAGAAGCGATTTTATGTTTAAAATAGAGATTATGAATTTATTTCATTATTTCTTGAATCTTAATGTTGAACAGAGTCATGATGACATCATCATAATTTAATTCATTTGTCAACTATAAATGAATTTTAAATGACAAATAAGGTTGTGATGATATTTTGATGATATATTATTATAACTTCTGTGTTTTACTTGAGAAATACAATATAATAATGAACACACGTACTCATGTCACACATATTCATGTCTCAACAATACTTTCGCGTTATAGATATCGAAGCACATATTTACTCCACGTATACTGCAATAAGCTTAAGTTTATACATCAATTTATTAATGATCTCGTGTGTCCCCAGGAAAATACAACTGCAAGGGAACATTCATGTAACTGGTAGCGTGGCCGAGCGGTCTAAGGCGCTGGTTTAAGGCACCAGTCTCTTCGGAGGCGTGGGTTCGAATCCCACCGCTGCCAATTTTTTTGCTCATTTATTTCGAAAATTTTTACACGTGGAAAGAAACATTGTTTTTATTATGACGTAAAGTTAAAAAAAATAAAATAAAATTATGAGTTATTGTAATTTTACGATTATTTATCGTCGATAAATAATCGCGCTACTTATCGGCATCTAACCGCATCGATAAAACAGAGCTAACACATGCAAATCAATTTAAATAGAGTGCATTTCACTTAACGTTTGTAACGTTCCCCTGCGTCATTTTATCTTTATTTAACATTTGATAATAAAATGATGCCACGTTACGAAAATTAACGGTGGACGCAATCATAGTTAACATATAGATTATGTGATATCTTATTTTTTTTCTATGTAATTAAAAAATTGTATTAGTGCTATATCGGTAGCAGGAAGATAAGATACGGACGTAGCGATTTGAATTTAAGATAGATGTTCCGCGGAAGCTCCGCTGATTATTTAAGCCTATTTTACAATGTGCTCTTTGTTTCCTGATTCTTGTTTCTTACCTTTTGCTTTTAATTCTTTTGCAACCGTTTTATCGACAATTGTATTTCTTGCTATGTATTTCTTGTTTCTTTTGAAGTTCGTTAATTCTTATCTCAGGCGATATAAAACAAAAAATCGAATAAGAAGCAAAAAGACAAGATGTAAAAAATAGCAAAAAGCAAGAAACTAAAAACAAAAGGCACATTGTAGAACAGGCTTTAGTTCTCAAATGTATGATAGTGCGATTACGCACTATCGTCGTGACACACACTCGTACTTCGAAAACAGATAAATATTGTCACGTTACCGAATACATTACATCGAGGTAGAATGAAATAAAAATAAGACATTGCGTACAAGTCCACAGTTCAATAGCAATCAGTTCCAAAGCTCATTTCTCTTTCCTTGTAAAAAGGTAGTTAAGAGAAAATTAAGATAAAATGAAGGCGAGGAAATAATTTGAAATTAAAAATGACGAAGTTTCTAAGATTTTTTGGAATTGTTTGTATATATCACATCACATAGTCTCATACGAGACTGATTTTTAACTATCATTATATTATACCTTCCGATTTACAATAAAACAAATATCTTCGTAAAATTATTGGTTCATACTTTTCATATACAAACAGAAAATATTTCGAGAAATATAAGAGAAAATATTGTGAGATAATTTTAAGAAAAGAACCTAAGAAAACGACGAATAGAAAATGAGAAATATTGTATGCTTTATTTTTTTTTTATCAAAGTTAAATTTTTAATATGTCGTAGAAGAATCTCGCTTTCCTCGCTCCGGTCTCGCCATAGAAAAACTCTTTGAATAGAGATAATCTGTTGTAATTTAATAACTTTTTTTTCTCCTTATTCGTTTTTCTATATTCTATATTCTTTTCTCGCCCGAAATCGATCCGCAGAATATCATGAACTCGATGCCAGAGAGTGAATCAATTTTATGCGAAGGAAATCCGAGTTCAAAAATCTCGGAATTTTGTCACCAGACAGATAAGATAGCTTTTGAATATACCTTTCCTTCGAGGAGATCCGATAAAGAGATACCTATTGTCGCCTTGTGACTTCTGAGCTCATACGCACAAAAAGTCTAATCAGTGATATCCTCTTCACCTCGTGAAACGACCTTATATATCGGATGTCTCATTGACGAAGATGCGAGATGCCAAATACCTATCTACGGATCATCATTGCATCACTCAGCGAGAAACGTGATGTGTACAAAAGTCAACTCGTGATTGGAAAGTTGTTAATACAAAACAGCACGCTATTAGTAATTAGTATATATCGTGTCTTTCAAGTGTGATCGTTAGTTTATCACCAGTATATTATATCAGAGATATTGGCCGCATAAATAGAAATCAATGCTTAATAAACGCTTTCCAATTGGATTATACTTTTAAATCTTGCTTAAGGAAAAGTCCTGTCTCAGCAAAGACTTCCAACAGCTGCAAAATAAACATTCTGCTGAATGAAGGCACGGCCTTGTCTTACAATTATAAGTGCTGATAAAAGCCGGAAGCAATCGTGTCTCGAAATCGAGAATCGTACATCGTTCGACGATCGTAATTCCGTACCGAAAGATTCTGATAATCGTACTCTAATTCGTGCGCATCTGTGAAAGCACATTCGTCCTCTACTAGAATAGAATACAATTGGCGACTCTTCGCCGAGCGTGGCTGGGAACGTAATCTCACACTCTATTTAGCCCGCGTGACAACGCGCACGTGTCTGCTGCCTGCTACTTCTGCGTGGCCGATTGTTTGTACGAAGAGAGAATTTCGAGTGGTGTGAGGAGCAAACAATTGTCGCTGTAGATCCGAAATTATTTCCATGGTCGGGGATGGCAAGATCGTGCGTGTCTCAACGCGCGAAACAATCGAGTTGTATATCCTGGCCTTTGCCTACGGTCTATGCCTGGTAGTCCGACGGTTCCTCAAATGGATATGGGATCCTAAGAAGTTCTTCATGTTGCGTCAGCGAGACCAGCCTCCGCCGTGTCTGGTCGACAACAGCCTCGCCATGCATTCCTACGTGAAAATCAAGGTGAGTAATGCATTACAGTGATGCCTGGACGATCAACACATACAAAGGATTTGTTCAGATTTCCAAGTGCTCCTCCTGCAGGTAATTATTCTTATTTAACATTCGGTGAACAAAAATGAAATGATACTTGGGTAGCACTCGAGTAGAAATCTGAACATAGTCAAGATATATAGGAGAGGTACAATACATCTTCCGCACCCTTTGATAACACTGCCCAGTGATAACACGATGGATTTGAAAGAATTCGCTCTCTTACTTCTTCATGACTTCAAGATTATTTCTGAAAATATAAATACTTAATAAAAATATCAGAAAATTATAATGATATAATTTTCTAAAATTGCGAGAATAAATAGATTCTTCGTGTATAAGAGATTTTTAAATATTCTATTTATAAATAGAATTCTATTTGATAAATTATAAATAATTATAGCTATTACATAATTATTTAATCGTACGATTATCTTGCAACTTTATCATATTACGTTGTTACGCTGAATATCTGATTATATATTTCGCTTGACTGTCTCTATTGTCGCCAGAACCGAAGTGTTTGTATATCATATTGTTGCGCTGTCTAAAGGACGAGGATTAACAGCGGTATTCAATTTTCATAATGTTATCGATGCAAATGTATTTAAATTTCGTTTTTTACATGAACTCATCTTGCAACATCGAGTGCAGGCGACACTCTAAAGACTAAACACGTTGCACATATTGATAAACAAATCTTTTTTAGATCGATACGCTTCTTATCTCTATACTTTTTCGATTTAATTAATTTTTAATTCGGATAACAAGTATCAAGACAGATTTGGAAATGTGTTTTGGTACATAAACGTAATAAATAGGAGGATTCTTAATTATACTTCAGTTTCTGATGTTTACTATAGCATATCTTAAAATTATAATGTGATATAATAATATTACAAGTAGAACATGCCATAAAGGAATAGACACTTTAAGGTTCAGTTTCACAATTCACTTTTAACCGAGGTTAAAAGTGGAACTTCTTTTTCTCTCATCTTTTTCCAATTCTAGTCCTAGAAAGAGATGAGGAATAAGTTAAACCTCGATTAAGAGTTAACCATGAGTTGTGAAACTGGACCTAAGAACATTTTCTTTAACTTGAAAATAAAGGTCTAAACCGGTCTTTTATACGACATTTTTTTCTTTTTGGACTCTAAATTCATTAGTTATAAATATAAATGTATATATATATATATATATATATAAATCTAATTCCCGAGGAAATGTGTGTGTGTGTGTGTGTGTAAGCACTCTGTATAATATATTTTCTATATTTTTTCTCTT